AAGCTTATTAAATGTTCAAAATACTTGTAATCCATTTTCTTCAACAAATTAATTAACTAGAAAAAGTAATCCTGAACCCGCCAAACTTCAAAACAGAGCTGGTCGACAATGTGAGGTAGAAATATCCTCCATAAACTACTATTAGGTTTAATTCCCAGTGCAATCACCAACACCGGGATCTCAGATACAAGCAAATGGTGAGTCTTAAATAGGAGAAAACATGCGTTCTGGATTTCCGTACTAACTAGGATCCTTCCTTTTGAAAAACGTCAGTGTGAATTAAATACGTTTAGGAGCTAAATGAATAATTTGTAGCTCTGATTTCAATCATAATGAATAAAACTGTTCCCTAACCCCATTTTCCCTGCGCTTTAACTAAGAACAGTAGTTAAAGCTTGACAGAGACTAAAGAAGAGTAATTCAAATTCGAATTTATTTCACTATACATATATTACATCCAGTGATTATTAATTAAATAAATTGTCAAATAAAAAAATTAGTATGACTGAATATTAAACTGGATAAAAGTCAAATGAACAATAAATCACATTGGATTGATCAATATAAATTAGCGCTATGATGAGCTAGAATGACATTGAATAAGGAAATCGATCAAATAAAGATTGCGTTTTAATTACTATATAGTCTTTCAATCAATTTACTCCTATTAATAAGTAATCAGAGATCCAATATCCATAAAAGCAAGGGAGATTTCTTAAACTAACGACAGCTACATTGCACTTCGGAATCTGCACTCATATTCTATCAAGAAACTAGTTTTTTTAAATGATTAACTATTATTGTATCCTCACTGAAAGACTTAGGCTCGTCATATCTCTATGGGCTTAGACTGCCATCCAGAGACCTCCAACAGTATCCAGCGTCCACCTTTCAAGTTATTGCTAAATGCTATTTATGGTTTCGATGACTGCCTCCAATTTATGAAGTAACATGTTCTTTGGTATGCCCCTTTCCTTTTCATTTTCACGATTGTAAATTGGAGGTTCCGTTGTGATACAAGTTGGTCTCCACATATGATATTGTACTTATCTTCAATTTCTTATGCTAATTCCCTCCTCAAAGAGGCAATTTCTTTCCTGCTGCAGTAGGTTATTGTTGATTGTATCTGGCCAACGAATCTGCAGTATCTTACGTAGGTAACTGTTTATGATTACCTATATGTTATGGTTGATGTCAGTCCTCTAAATTTCAGCTCCGTGCAATAGGACTGTTTTAATTTTTACGTTAAAAATTATGACTTCAGTTTTGAGTGACAGTACTTCTTAGTTCTAGATATTCTGCAGTTAAAGTGTTGCTCTTCCTTTGCCGATTCATTTCTTAACACCATTATCATATCCTTCTTGTGTATCGATGATACTACCCAGGTGTGTAGAGCCCCTTGCCTCTTCCAAACCTTGAGCACAAAGTGTGACTTTTTTAGTGTCCGTTGTGTTGTTAACACAGAAACCCATTTCTGTGGAAACCACTGCTACATTGGCTGACTTCGTTTGAATTCGTTGCTTTTTGCGGAAGTAAGGCCTAAGTCATCAGCTGTGACAAAAGTGTTCGCTGTATTTCGTGCTTTTCACGGAATGTGAAGGTTATTATAATCCAGTCGACAAACGTAAGAAGAAAAGTAATAGTAGGTAGCTTTGTCTGACACTGATCTTCCATTAGAATGCATTTGTGAACTCTCCACACACAACTTTGCAATTCAGTTCTGTATTACGATGATGATCTTATGAGGTACTCTATAATATCAATGAGAATTCTACAGAGCTTCCCCATCCACTCGGTCAAGCGCTTCCTCATAATGAGGGAAATTGATGTATAGTGATGAGTCTCATCTAATCGGTTGCTCAATAATGTCTCTAATTTGTTGGCACATGATTAATCTTTATGAAACCCATCTTGTTGATCCAAAGGTTGGGAGTTCGGTTCAGTAACACCCGCCTGAGGATTTTGTGTGGTATTGATACTAGCATGATGCCCCTGTAGTTCACACATTTACAAAGATCTCATATTTTCGGTATATTTGCGAAGTATTCCTTCCGTCAGTCTCCTGCTATTTGTTCTTTCTTAAAACTCCTTCTGACTAGAACAGAGTACATTTAAAGTTGCCTCTATCTGATGATAGTACTTCAGTTAGTATGTCATCTAGTTGTGCTCTTTTACTGACCCCAATTTGTCTGATGCTATTGTTAAGTTCCCCTATGGTCTGTGCCTAATCAATAACAAGAAGGTTAGTGTTTGATGCTTCGATATCTGGCGGGTTTAGAAATCTACTGATCTATTCAAGAGATATTAAAAGTGCTCTTTCCAGCTGTTACACCTTTCTTGAACATCGGTGATTACTTTTACTTCTTTGCTCTCGACTGGTTGCTCTGATCTACTACATTTCCTTGCTACCTTCTTCGTTTTATCATATATTTCTCTCACATTTGCTTCTCTTTCAGCTTTTAATGATGTAGTTGCCAGGTCATCAACATATTCTCATCTGCCCGCTCTCGTGGCGTTTATCACTTGCCTGTTTGTTTCTGTATATTCAGCCAATGCCTCAGCTTTCTCTTAATTATTTATATTGTTTCCGAATGCAGTCTTCTTGTTTTTCATCTCTTGAATCTTACCTACGCTGTCTACAAGGGTCCAACTTCTATACTGATATCTGTTGGGGCCGAGCACTTCCTGATATCTTGAATTTATTGCTGCATTAATCCTTTTCCAGCTGCTCGCCGCGGCAGTTTCCACTTCTCCAAGTATATATTGTAACACTCAGAAGTTTTCGCTAAGAGTTTGCTAGCATTTCGATGGAAGGTCTTGTGGAACATTTTTGTGCCACTTATCCAGTTTTTCAGTGCTACTTTGACTACAATTTTAGTTTGCCCGTCATCAGATTGTGACATGAAGCTCTATCGCCTCTTCTTTTTGTTTCTTAGATAAAATTTCGTAATTGCTTTATGCAGATGTATAGGGTTGGTCTACCATGGTATGGTCCGGTGAAATTCATGAAGTTCTTCGTACGCATTTGGAGGAAATTGATGTCGCTAATAAGTACACTGTCGGAAGTACATAGATCTACCAGTCTCTGACCATTTCCATTCCTTTCGTCTATTTCATGTCACCACATGATCTATTCGCGAGACGTGCTATCAACCCCAATCTTGACTTTTAGGTCCTCTATCTATGCGTCAGATATTTTCTTCTTCACGACTAGAGTACAGTAAAAGCTCTCCTGAAGTTAACATTTTTGTCCAGATTGTGTCCAATGCGTTTCACTTATTCCAAACACTCCCAGACAATATCTTCTCAATTTTGACGCTATTTGAATGGTCGTGCTAGTATCCCACATTTTTCAAACACTCAATATAACTATATTAATTATTGCTTTGGTTGCCAGAAAGAGTATCGGCTCTATGACTTCGAAAGAATTTCGGCTTTTATTATGAGACATCATGTCGTCTACACGAAGACTCTTTATCTCTAGGGCAGATTTTGAGTGATCGTTTTGACTGGTGTGCTTTCTTTAGCAAAACTTTTTTATATGAGGCGGAATTACTAACCCTACAACCGAATCTTTTCGTTTCTGCGGGCTTGAAACAAACAGTAACTCTAGAGCGGCTCCAGATCCAGTATCGACCCGATCTTACTAGTTTTCGACTTTCAAAGACTGTGTTTATTTGAGAGAGGACATGATTTCGCTTATTTTCAACACAATCAGCTACCATCCCTTACGTGCTTACAACCACAGCAATGACGTGCAGTGACCTTTTCACAGTCATTTAGTAAGAAAAGTTATTACAAGACAATATTTTGAAAACTTTGAGATTGTATATGTTGCTACCCATTTGTTACTTATGAATAACATTCTTTGTAAACCTATCACAGATAATCATACCTGTCAATGGCATCACATATGTGAACAAGAGAATCTGGATATATCAAATGAAACTACTTCATAATTACAAAACTACTGGATTCGGAAAGAAGTAATAGTCAAACCCATTACTGATTAAACGATTATATGTTAACAGACTTTACACTTAGAGAAACAAGTGAATGAAACTACATTTCAGACACTGTGAATTACATAGAAGAAAAAATACAACATCAGCCATTCATTACTCAACGGTAAGAATTGGAGACAAAAACGAATTTCACCTCAAGTAACCTATGTTTTGCTAAGCAATAGAAATAATATACAGCTTAAGGTCACAAAAGGCTAATATTTAGCAAAAATACAACTCTACAAACATCTTCTCCAACAAACCCAAAATTACAGCGGAAAGTGGTTCAACTATTTAAGTTTATTAATCCATAATTAAAATTATTGAGGTCATGTAGTAACATGAGTTAAAAGACGTAAACTTCTACCTCATTATCTAACAGCCGACATTTATTTCCCGTTAACTTAATCAATATTCGACTCGGTTATCAGCCAGACAGAAACATTTAAGAAAGCATAAGCTTTGATCTAATCACCCGGACGGATAGGCCAGAGATTGAATACCTAACAACTAATACTTAACTGTATTTTTATCTCGGATAGCCTACTTTCTTTCCCGTTAAGAGACATTGATTGTATTAGGAGGCAATAACTTTTACTAATGCATTAACTTTTCAGATTCTTGAACTTACCCTATAACTGAGGTAGCATCTTTTCAGACGTATGCTTTCTCAATATTTGTACAAATAAAAAAGCATTACGAATATTTTTATAGCAAGTTACTTTTAATTTGAAATGAAAAATATGTAGTTACGACTTATTTACAAGATGAGAATTTTATAAATATTTACATTACAGTTAGATAGTTTGTGATTAGTTATTTGACAAGTTGAGTAACAAACAGTTTGATTATTAGCATGTGAAATTTTAGGTGTGACATTTTTACTAGTAACTAAGTAACTGCACTTTCAAAGAAGTTATCAGCAAATCAAAAAGTGAATATTAGTTGACTAGAAATTCTCCAAAGTTAACATAACGTTAACAAACTGTGACATATTGAATATACAAACAATAACAAAGAAGCAACCAAGAAAACAAGCTACTCGTTGCAAACAGTCTGTAAACCAAGCTTATTCCAACTAGATAAAGAAAAGGAACTATCACCATACCCATGAAGACTTATGAGATCAATATGATCGTCTGGTTGACGAACTGCAAAAACACCATCCAAATGTACAGGGCTAATACCCAGTTTATATAATAGAAGGCCAATTACAACATCTTCAAAAGGAAGTAATTTAGTATATCTCAGACCAACAGAAAGCAGCTTTGCGACAGGCATGCTAAGAATAATAGTTCCGCCAGTAGGATAGGGTGGATACAAATTGTATGGATAGTCTGAGTAGGATATATACCATTTATTGGACGGGAACCTCATCGGTTTGGAGATACGCAACACATCACCAGCTATATAGTTCAAATACTGAGTTTCAGTAACTTCGGAAAGTGTCCGAAGCAAATTAGACGGGTGCAACATGAAATCATCGTCAATCAAAGTGAAAAATCGAGGAGAGGAACATTCATTGATAGCAAAGTCTAATGTCGCTATCAGCTTATACGTAACATTATGATAGTCCTCAATAACATCAAACTGAACTATATCGTTATGCTTTATATGTTCTTGTAGTACCAGATTTTGAGTACTGGAATTTTCCCAATCGGCGGAACCTGATCTACCAAGAATAAAAAGAGTTCGAGCACGCACTCCGGAATAACGGAAACAGTTTGAATTACCCCAAGATTGGCGTATATTATTACGTGATTCAAAGTGTAACAACGCTGATTTGACAAAAATAACTAGATCTGGTGAAGCATCAGATTGATTGGACAATTTACAAGAATGTATTGGTTGGAGAATTGCGTTAAATTTAACAGGATTTATAGGTTTAACCGATGCCTTGTTGTTCGACATTTTGAACTCATTTTCATATATCACGTACAAATCCACATTAAGCGGATGTTCAAAATAATTTAAACTCAGGCCCTGATTATTATAAACTAAATATGAAGTTGATATAACAAGAATTAAAGATAATGTAAAGAAAAACATAAAACTCAAGGTTTGTTTTCTTGGGAAATGTCGTCTACACACTTTTATGTTAAAATAATTACTTTTCTGCTTCTCCATTGCGTCATAAAATCCAGTTCTGAAAAGTTAGAAAATTGAAAACTTTATAATGAACTTGTGATACTATTATTGTACAATTGAACCACCCACAACATAATCATTTAAAGAAACACAAAAGTTTGAGCTTATTTTATCTAACTAGTCCAAATATGAACAAATACTTTATGTTAACAAGTCCAGTATAGCAAAAATAAAACCTATTACACAAGTAAATGGAGTATAAGATATCTAATAAATAAAAACATGTATGGAATATATTTTCAAAGTAATTTCAAAGCAGATTTACGATACCAACAAACGTAAATTTGTTGCTTATTACTACAGAATAACTGAGTAGCTTAATCACTGTTAACCAGTAGTTACAGAATAATTAAAAGATTCTGTAAATTACTAGTAAAATGAACATTTAGATTTCTTAGTAGCAAGAAGTCAGATACTTAGTAGACTTCTAATAACGTATAGAAACATAAATTTCTGATCACATAACTGATTGACCGAGTTTTACCAGCAAAAAGATTGTCATTCTGGTAAGACTTAATCGGTGAGTAGTATGACCGACATTAATGAGTACTAAATCCAAATTTCGTGTCATAGTGCCCAGAACTGACGACTGTTAGCATAAAATGAAAAACCCAGGTTTTCGACTTTACTACACATGATACAAAAGGTTATGGTAATCTCTACAGCACAAGTATCCATACTTACACCTCCAATCCCAGTTTGGGACATAAAACGTTCTAGTTTCTGATTAAGTTTTATATATAAGAGCTAAGTGGAGTGCACTGGCCTCAAAATTTAAACGTTTTAATAGGTGGTTCACGTCCTAGAATAAGAAGTAAGGAATGAAATAAATTCACAAATAAGGTAACGTGAAACTGTTCCAAGTAATTAGCGATCATTTGCACTATGGGCACATCTTCATAACACAAAGTCAAACATTAATGTCTTCAAAATTACCGAATCTGAGACAGCTAAAACGACATTGATTATGGCTTAGTAATATTAAAGAATCGGATAAATATCGAATTAAAAAGTCAGTTATTGTAGAATACCAGGAGATTTATGAAATCGTAGTCTGAGTATGGGCAACTAAAACTGGAGTTCAACGAAAACCCTACACAAAACTTACGAAGTAAATGGTTATACCGAGTAGTTCCAGTTGTCTACTGATCTTTAGTGCAATCAAAGAGAGAAATATAGACCCATCATAAAGCATTTACCAAAGTATAATATTCACTAGTTCATCACAAATCAACAGTACTTTATCGTCAGGTGGTCATGGAATGGTGACTGCACATTTAGTATTTCAGAAGCCTCAACCGTAAATATACAAAACTTTTACTCTAACATCACTCCTCAAAAAAAGGATTGTTTAATCACTCTGATGAACTTGAAGGCCTTTTAACAGTTTCTGGAAGTTTTGATATTTTCAAGCATTTAACACATTGAAAAGTATAGCATGGAGGTACCATAAAAAATCACTATAATATACACGAAGAATTAACTGATGATTTATGAATGTTAGTCGAAATTCAAGAACTACAGTTTTGATCTGTTTGTTCATTAAGATACTCAATCAAACAATCTGTCCAGGAGAATTGAGTCTGGAGATATTTATTTGTTTGAAGTAGAAACAACTGAGAAATGTTGAAATAGTATAAGTGCAGTAGGAATCATTATTACTTAACACATGTATCACCGTCTTCTGAATCCCTATCACTTCACTTGACATCATAACTTAGTTCTCCTACGAGTTGTGAGCAAAAACAATAAATAAACACTTCAGCACAATGCAAAAGCCATAAATTGTAACGTAACAAGTTGTGCACAAAGCCCACCATGTAAAATTACAACATGGATAATGTATTTCTCAAGAGAAATAATTAGGCTTATATAAGTTTTTAGAAAATAACAGTTTAGATACTCGAACTTGAGCTACATATTCTCTGAAAGGTAACGATACTACCCGAGTTCACAAACGAAAGTACAAGTTGTGGTAAATGGACCCGAGACTTAGTGGTTAGAACTCGTGTCTTAATAACCAAACTATCGCTCCACGGCAGTAACGTGAAGAGAAATATAATAAAGTACAGTTAGAAATGCTTTGTCCAACTATCATAAATTTCGTACGAAATTCTATTCGAAGACAAAATTTATAAACGCATCTTACTACTTGTAACTATCAAAAGCAAACAAGACAAAGACGTACCGTGGAGGACAAGAAGGACTTACAAAAGTCTATTTCCATGTAATTATCCTGGATTCTGGCAAATAAGTGGATATTTGTACACAAAAGCAAACATAAATGACATGAAACCTAACAAACGTATCCGTCTGCCCAAATTTCTACACTTAACATCACCAAGGCGAGTAGAGATATGTGGCCTGGTTAGTTAGATTTTGAGGCTATGAATGGATAGCAAGAGAATTTTTCGATTAGTTGTATGGTTTCCTATATCAAAAAAAAGCCTGAGAATGGTTTTAAGGAAGATATTTGATTTTATGTAGATTTAAATGCTAATCACAAGAGGTGAGTTATAACACATAATGCAGTAATAGTAGTAGTAGTGGTAGTAGTAGTAGTAGTAGTAATAGCAATGGTAATCGATACACGTGGAAGCTGAGGACTCTGTGCTAATATTTAGCATTCACTTAGATCACATTCTCCAGATATATAATGTTTTTATGAGCTAGTAGATACCAACCGATTTTTTCGACCTTTCACTGTGTCATTTGAGTTTCCACACTTTTTATTTATTGAAATCATAAACAATCTTCCCCCTGATAATTAAAGTACTGAACAGCACTTAAGTGCTAGGGACTTTTCAGCTACAGAAACCCTAAATTTTCTATGTATTTAAGGAACAACAGCATTAACGCTGTACAAACCCAATCCCCCTATTTGAGGGGAACCAAGATAGGAAACTTTGAAGAAGTTTTAGGGAAGTGGAATGAAAATCCCAAAATTTCCCCAGGTCTGTGGAAAATCCTGAGAATGTTTGGGGAAATGTCTAGGTTTTCTCCAATATTTCCCCCAAATCTTACAACACTTTAAGGTTTTTCCCCAAAATTCCCCTAAACTTTGGGGAAAACTACTATATTTTTGCGGTTTTGAGGAAAACCCGAAAAATTACCCAAAGTTGCCCAAAATAGGGAGGTTGGGCAGTTAGCACTTATTGTAAACAACATACTAAATATTTCTTTATACTAGCCATAAAGTTCCAGATTTTTCTTTTTGTGCTTGCCAGACATGACAACAAACGAGAGCAGTGTTCACAGAGTTATCTAGGTATAGACGAGTGGACTACTACTCCTCACAAATCTTGTATGTTGCGCTTTACAACCTGAATCTATGACCTGGTGAAGTCCTTGAAGTTATCCACTCTAAGCAAATAAACGACACATTTGAACTACTGTTGACGTATATGAAATTTGATTTTACTTCGCAACTATGCATGGAATTATTTTGGATGCATTCTTTTAAAAATCTGGTGGTTATCGTACATTTAAAACAGTTTGATGATGTTAGGTAAATTGATTTAGAACCACGAGGTATCTGAGGACATTTCAGATTACGTTTTCGATGAGTAACTGCGAATAAACCTCTCACACCTTCTTTGGATGATGAGGATGTTCAACAAGGTATGACCAACATTTTCAGGCTAGTTTATTATTACTGAGCCCTAGGGAAATGATCTATCAAGCAGAGCAGCTTCCTGCTTATAGCAGGGTCATTACTAGTGACACTATGCCATATCTAGCTGGTGGGAAGCTGTTTCAATAGCATCATTAACCACTGAAAATTAATGTTTCTAGAACAATTGAACAACTATTGCATGTAGGAAATTACCAGTCACAACACGAGCTTCTTTCAAGCCGCGTCAGAAGGCGGCTTCGGAAGCGAGTGTGGGTTGGTACTGGTTTCACCGCTCCATCGGGTCTCGAGCCCGCCGTTGTCGAGCCCCGTGCTCATACAAGGAAGATACATACAGGTGCCCGAGTTTCTGTCGTACCTATTGGTAACAGTAAGTCACAAGCTACGACGCTTCGACTACGCGCTGTGAATGGCTCAGCCATTCTTACCTATGGTACACGACTACTCACGGTCAACCTGGGTAACCGACGACAATATATGTGGACGTTCATCATTGCAGACTTTTCCACAGCCATACTCGATATTGATTTCCTACAGCACTAGGAATCGCTAGTCGATTCACGTAGGCTGCAGCTAATTAATGCTTCGTCGAACAGCAAATTAATGGGCTCCAAAGTTCACACAAATGCGTACCGAATCTTAGGCGTTTTTCATTCTCGTGACGATATATTCGAGAAATTCCCCAAATTAACTAGACCACTCGAGGAGATTCCATCAATGACCAATCGTGTGGTACATTACATAGTCACTCGCGGACCCTAGTCACGGTAAGACCACGCCGCCTGGCACCGGACAAGTTGGCTTTCGCTAAACGTGAGTTTGACAATTTACTAGCTACTGGTATTATTCGTTCTTCTCACAGTCCCTGGGCCTCACCGCTTCACATGGTGCGCAAGAAGGATGGGGTTAGTCAGAGACCATGCGGCGACTACCGAGCATTAAACGCAGTTACACGCTTTGATAGCTACCCCATCCCCCACATACACGACATCACGGCATCGCTCAAGGGCACGAATATCTTTTCTAAGATCGATCTGGTACGAACATATCATCGGATCCCAGTCGCTCTTCAAGTTATCGAGAAAACCACTGTCACGACTTGTTTTGGTCTGTTTGAGTTCCTACGAACGCCATCTGGATTACGGAATTCCGCTCAAACTTTTCAAAGGTTCACCGATAACATAGTACGAGACTTTGATTTTATTCACGTCTATATTGATGACCTGCTAATCACATCATCAAACGTGGATGAACATTATCAACTTCTTACACTCTTATTCCGACGCCTTTCGGATAATGGAATAGTAGTCAACCCGGACAAGTGTGAACTGTGCAGGTCAGAGGTAATGTTCTTATCCCACATCATTAAGCAAGAGGGTATTTAACCTTGTGAGGACAAAGTACGTGCAATAAGGGAGTACAATGTGCCGTCCACACTCGAGGAACTGAACGCATTTCCCGGTTCGGTTGACTTCTATCGACGTCTCATCCCACATGCGGCAGAACGGTTACGACCATTAACCGATTTACTTCGCGATAATCCACGCAAATTAGAATTGAACGATGCCGCACGTACTGGATTTTCAGAGATCCAAATGGCTCTGGCTCAAGTCACACTCCTCGCTCACCCTGAACCATCAGCCACGCTTAGTATAGCGGTTGATGCACCAGCCCCTCTATCGTTACGTGCAGTATGCCAACAGTAAGACTGGTTGACATACAAGACACTATACCTACGTGCATTGAAAAGTCAGCACAGTCTACTAAACAGTATGTGCTACCAAGGCCAAAGTCTAAAATTTCAAAAACTAAAGAGTCCAATGGTCCACCTCATACGCACCAAAATTCTGATAGATATAGTAATGACATCCGACAGCTACAAAACTCTCTATCCGAAATTAACGGCAAACTTGAGCAATTAGCACCCCTCACTCATATATGGGGCCTTGATACAGACAGAAATCTTGAGCAACTCACTAAAGCTGAGTGTATTTTGGAGTTTGTGGCTGAAGAAGTGACGAAGAGAGTAATGTCCTCCTTCAATGCAGTTGTGTATAACCTCCCCGACCGCACACACCCATCTAAGTTAAGAGATATTTGCCTTAGAGCATGCGGTATGCCGAACGTTAACTGCAAAGTCATCCGCCTTAGAAAAAAGTCAGACAGATCAACTTGCCCCCTCTTGTTTATGTTTGGCTGTTGTAACGATGCTAAGCAGTTTATTGATTTGAGCAAAAACATTAGCTCACTAATTCCATACAAAAATATAAAAGTCACTCCAGACCTTACGCCCTGTCAACGTCGTGTAAGAAGACGCGAAGCGATAGAATTGAATGGGAGTGTTACAGTTAATAATCAGCCAGAGACAGTTTGCAACACAGCAAATAGTTTAAAACACACGAACATTAAGCATGACACCACTCCACATACGGCTGATCACTCTGTTGATCTAGATGAGTCTACAGATCAGAAACCTTTGGATAAGATACGGACCCCAACTGACACCAAAAACCATAACGACATGACTAATCCCAGCTGTTCATTCAGTAATGTACTAAAATGTGAGTCGTGTAACAACACATGTGCAACTAAACCTATACACTTGAAAATTTGTCCTCCTAAAGACATTCCACAAGTAGACTTGAATGAACGTAAGTTCATCTCACAAAGACAACGAAAGAATCCTGCTCTGAAAATAAAGGGTGGGAAGACAAAACTCATGATACCGAATAGGGAAACACGTAAGATTGAACCCAACTGCTCTATAGGTATCCCAAGAACAGTGAACAGGTTCTCCCCGCTGCTATCGTATAACTTGCCTTCAACACCTCCAAGTTGCAAAAAGGGTGGTGGGCTTCAACGTAGCAAGCCTTCTTACACGCAGACTAACGAAAACTACCAGAGAACTGGCCACCCAAATCACCCCCTGAAGCCTAAAACCATAAATAAGAACGGTAATAATAGGTTTCTAACTCCACACCCTACCTACATTCCCCAGGATCGCAACTGTAATTACTCTCAAAAAGAAAACTTCTCATACCCTTTAGTGCCGACCCATCACATAACAACGGCTCCCATGTATAACAACAGTCGCAACTCCTCCCAGTTACGCGTAGCAGACCCCTCTCGCGCTAACGTAAATAGCCATAACAGGGGCTACGAGTCTAACCATCAAGACTATTTTGTAAATAACCATACACTTCACAGTAGGCCTGTACAAGATTTTTTTGGAATAAGACCCCTAGTGACACCTCTGTTGAAGCATATAGCCCAGGTTATTTCAAACCACATGCAAACCATAAATTTGTTTCCTCCGTACAGTTTCCATCACAGAGTACTCCCACCCTTTCCTCCTGGGTAAACTCCCCAATCAACTTCACCAGCTCATTTGATACATCTCCCAATAAGTTTAACTATCAAAATACCGAGCTAATGAAGAACATCCAATCCCTCACATCAAACTCATCTTACACTCGCGAGGGTTACGACGACTTTATCCGAAATACCCTCACCCATTTTAACTTAGTAGGCCACTTGCTTAATATATGTCTTATCAACGCTCGATCGATCTGCAACAAAAAGACGGATTTAGCCCTGTTTGTATCCATATATCAACCATCAGTTATTATGATATCTGAAGCATGGACTAACAGTAATATTTCCGACCGAAGCATATCTCTAGATAACTATTCCCTATATAGAAGCGATAGATTGAATGGACGAGGCGGAGGATGCCTTATTTACGCTCACTCTAGCCTGAACTCACTGCTATGTGATATGCCTGAACTAAACAAACTGAAGGATTCGGTGTGGATTGTATTAAAGCCGTCGAATTCCGTTACCTTACTGCTCGGCTGTGTTTATCGTCAACCTAACGCATCAATAGATGAAATAGCAGTATTATCGGAGGTATTCACACTAGCATCATCCCTCTCATTCACAGGCAAGCTCATTTGTGGTGACTTCAATATGCCCGAAATTTCTTGGCTGCCAGTCAAAGCGCCGAGACGTTATGAATCATTTATTGAATGTCTAGAGCTTGGACAATGGACTCAGTATGTCGATAGCCCTACCAGACATCAAAACATCTTAGACTTAGTCTTTACCAGTGGCCTCATCCCCAATACTTTGTATATTGGAAAAAAGTTCCCAGGTAGTGATCATAACATTGTCATATGCAGCCTTAATGTAAAAACCACAACCGATAGAAGTAAAACCGTAACACTTCGTAGAAACTATCGCAAGGTTGATTGGAATAACTTCCACAATTACCTAAGAAGCACTGATTGGAGAACTTTCTTTACCTCAAACAATACCGACACATTAACCAATATATTTTATCACAACATCAAAAGTATCATCAACAACATCGCACCTTTAGAATACTGTAAACCTACGTTCTCCAAAGATCTCTATATACCGGTCAGTACAAGAAGACGTCTTCAAAGACATTGTACTCGATTCCACAACTTAAATGACTTTTCCTCTTTAGTAACGATGACAGAAATACTTGTCCGAACAGAGGCAATAAGTAAACAAAAAGCAGTAGCACAGGAAAAACGTGCAGTTGAACTTAATAATAACTCCTCTGCACTCACCATACTACTCCAAAATAAACTTAAACGCTCTAAATCGAGAGGGAGTATATTCATTAAAGGCAAACAAGTATACGAAGATCCCAAACTTATCACAGAATTATTCAGTGAACATTTTTGTTTCTCACTAACTAACGAAAAACCATTTAATGATTCAGAACCAATCCCAGTAACTCCCTGTGAAATTACTAATGTAGAATTCAGTGTACAAAATATCTCCAAAGCAATCAGTACATTGAAACACTCCTACACTGATGGACCAGATGGTATTCCATCTAGCATGCTAAAACGCGGAGGTGATGATATGTGTGTTTTGCTTCTCAAACTATTCGCGATATCACTCTCTTCAGCGTGTTACCCTACTGCCTGGAAAACTACACATATCATTCCCAAAATTAAAACAGGACCTGAAGCAAACGTTGAAAATTACCGGCCTATAAACATAACTTCAGTGGTATCCAGAGTGATGGAAAAAGTAGTTAAGGCGGCTGTAGTCCAACATCTATTAACTAACAATCTCTTGTCGACCTCCCAGCATGGATTTCTTAGGTCCAGATCATGCGATACATGCCTAGTAGACTACCTGAATGATATAACTCTGAAACGAGACAGCGGACTCCTTGTATCAGTCCTATTCCTAGACTTTAAGAAAGCCTTTGATAAGGTCCCACACAAAAGGCTACTCGTCAAACTAAAGTCCTTCGGAATACACAACCCACTGTACTCATGGTTTGCTTCGTTCTTAACAGAACGTAAACAGATGGTAAAGTACAATGACTGTCTCTCGTCCCCTAGACCAATCACCAGTGGAGTCATCCAGGGAAGCGTATTAGGGCCACTTTTGTTTCTTATGTATATAAACGATATATGTAACACCATAGAATTTGGGAAACCGTACTTATATGCTGATGATCTCAAAATAGTATACAGCTATAAGCCTGAGACACTAAGCGAAAGTGTATCCCAGATCCAAAAGGACCTCAATAACTTAACTATATGGAGTGAAAAATGGCAATTACCATTTAACCTCAACAAGTGCGGGATCATGCACTTTGGAAAGCATCCCTATAAACCGCGACTTCACTTAAATGAATGTATAGTCCAAACACTCGAATCAGTACACGATTTAGGAATTAATTACACAGGAAGCCTAAACTTTGAAGAACATGCCTCCTCTATTATTTCTAAATCTAGACGGCTAATTGGTTTTATAATGAAAAACTTTTTCACAACAGAGGGTAAACTTACTCTCTACAAAATATGTGTACGACCCACCCTTGAATACTGCTCTTTTGTCTTCTCTAATATGAATATCGCAGACAAGATAAGAGTAGAAGATGTTCAAAGACGTTTCACACGTCAACTACTAGGATGTAACTCGAATCTCGATTACACAGACAGATGTAAGCATCTATCTTTAGAACCTTTATGGCACCGTAGGCTAAAACACAATTTAATATTTCTCTACAAAGCGATATATGGGCTCTCCTTTCTAACCTCCTGCCCGACTATCACCCACGACCCAGCCTATAGACTTAGAAACAACGCATATACACTACTTACCGTAAAACACCAAAAACAAATGCGTTGTAAGTTCTTTACAGTACGGTACAGTTTATTGTGGAACAGGCTGCCAATGCCTATCCGTAACTGTGATACGTTTACCAGATTCAAAAAGCTAATAACCCTATTTCTAGACTCCAAAGAGCTTCAACATTACCTTGAACTCCCGCCCACCGATGAGGCACTTTATTACGGACCGCCTAGTATCTAGAAAGAACAGAATTATAACAAGTTCGACTGTTACTAATCTGAATATAACCAAATCACAGGATATATGGCTTATCCTTTCCTATTATTCATTGTTTATTAATCATGATTTCATGCTCCTAACCCTAGCTTTCAGTCCCCAAATCTCTACAGGTTAAATGTACATTATTCTTCCTAAAAGTCATGCTTTTTTTTCTACTGCAAGTAGACAGATAGCTCAATCTTATGGATGCTGATCTACTAAGGCCGATCATTCAAAGCTCAAAATTTGGCCACAAAGTCTTGTGAGTTTCTCAATGTTTTATTTTTCTCACCCTAAAGTCTTTTTCTTTTTTTTTCTACAATTTTATACCCTCTCATATCTTTTGATTTACTATTAATCCTTACTTCTTTAAACCATTAGTTATTTTCATAGCAGTGTGATATACTATATGGACATCTAACCCATAAAGCAGAATTTTTAAATATCTGATTTGCTTGTAACATGGACCTAGTAGAGACAGTGTATTCCAACTATGTGCTTTGATTAAAGCATTAATCATACTTACCACAAACGTAAGAGAGCCTAACATCACAAAAGGAGGGAGGGTGGCGTTACTGACCAGCAAACATGAAGGTGGGGAGATAACTTCAATCCACCCATGTCTGTAGGGCAGAACATTTTGTTTAATTACGGCTCCTTATGGTTTAGTGGGATGTCACGGACTTAAGGTATTGAAGCTGATCTATCACGCAAAATACCTCTTTAAATCGTGTTACGAACGTTGAATTGGTTTCACTTCCTACTCAGAAATCCTATTACAAGCAAACTAGACAATTCGCTAATATACGAAGCCTACTCAAGACCCTATAAAACCTGAAAAAAAAGAAATAAAAAAAACGAAAGGGGCTCTAATAGCTTCGATAATAAAAGGAAGATAGCCAGTTGTATATCACAATACTGTTTCTAGCACTATATTTTATTTTATAATCACACATAATCTTATACTCTCAGCTCTTTTCCGAATCGCCTCCATTTGTCAGTTGTATGTCCACTCACACCTTGCTAAAGCTTATTTTCTTTAACCTATTAAAATGCTCTTTCTTAACAAATACCTTAATAAAAGAAAATTAGACTGAGTAATCATACCTTAAACATTCCTACATGAATATTGGCTACTCTGCCTCTCGTGTTTTCTTTTACTTGCTCCCTCTTTCAGCCCCCTTGAGATATGGAACAGGTTACTTCATCCTGCACCATCCTTAAAGCCTTGGATATCCCAAAGGGACATAAGGTTGCGATTTCTAGAAGCTCATACCTTCAATGGACCTATTCTTGACCATCAGTCGCACATTCGCAACGCAACTCTCGTGAAGCGCGCCAACTATAGTACTGATTAAAACTATCTACATTCATGTCTTATAAATTTTCAACCCAGCTATGTAATTTAATACAGTGTATATTGTATCATTTGTATCAATTTGATCTTGCCTGTAAACTGGCATGCCTCATGTAACAAACTGTTATTTGAGAATAAATTATTATTATTATTATTATTATTATTGTGCTATAGGAGCCGTTATGCAACAGAGCATCTCCAGAAGTTGGCAATCTCTCGAATTTTTCTCACGACGCCTCACTCTTACGGAGACGAGATACAGCGCTTTCGGTCGAGAACTATCAGCAGCTTACTGTACCATCAAACATCTCCGAAATGCAGTAGAAGGTCGCAATTTCATATTATTCACCGACCATAAGCCTTTCACGTACGCTCTGCGTACCAAATCTGACCGTTACTCACTTCGAGAACGCAGACATTTGGACTATATCTCTCAGTTTACGACAGACCTTCGTCGCATTAAAGGCTCTGTCACGTACCCAAGTGAATGCAGTTACTTCACCGGTTCTCGATCTTCTTGCTATGGCTGCCACCCAACCAAACGATCCGTTTTGTACAGAAGCACAACAATCTCCACCCTTCAGTGCCAGGAAGTATTCCTAGCTACTAGCTCAGGTACTATCCTGTATGATACTTCTACCGGTCTTCCCCGACTCATCGTACCCTCTGCTTACCGTCGTCTCGTTTTCCATGCCCTGTATGGACTGTCTCATCCAGGCATCGCAGCTACACTACGCCTCATCGCTGCACGATACGTCTGGCCGTCCATGAATAAAGTTGTCCGTGTGTGGGTAAAGCATAGCTTACAATGTCAACGATCAAAAGTGTACAGGCTCGTAGTTGCCCCCATTGGCACGTTCGCTAGGGTTGATACTCGTTTCGACCACGTTCATATAGACATTGTCGGACCATTGCCACCATTGCATGGGTATGATCACATACTGACGTGCATCAATTGTTTCACAAGATGGCCCGGAGGTATCCCCATCACGCTTATTACTACGGAAACAGTTGCACACCGCTTCGTAGAACGATGGATAGCGCTTGACGGTTGTCCCTTTACTGTCACAGCTGACCGAGGACAACATTTCGAGTCCGAATTATTCTGCTCACTTACCCGACTGCTTGGTACGGAGCGCATACGCACTATCGCCTACCACCCAGCATCAAATGGTTTAGTTGAACGATTTCATCGCCAACTCAAAAGTCCTCTTCGAACACATGAAGACAACAATTGGTACGAAACCTTACCGCCCATCCTCTTAGGTATCAGAACGAGCTCAAAGGCAGATATTCAGTGTTCCGCCCCCGACATTGCGTCTGCCTGCGGAATTTTTCACACCACGGAGCAGTAACGACTTTGGTAAATCAGACTACGTCCAACGACTGTCTGAATTTATGCGAACGCTGTCTCCAGTGTCAACTCGAATACAACGTCGGCAGGTCGCTCTCTCTCTGGAGAGTTATCTACCTGTTCACATGTTTTTGTGCGAGTGGATTCGGTACGCTAACCTTTGCAACAGCCTTACGAAAGACCTTTTCACGTGATTTCTCGTCATGAAATGACCCTCAAGGTTGATCGACATGGCCGCACCGAAATCGTCAGCATTGATCGTTTCAAGTCAGCACATGTCGATGACAGTGCCCTCCCTGATAAGTTGAGACTCAATGCTAGGCCCAACAAACCTGCTAGCGGGTTCCCTATATCTACTTCAGATCCCACGCTAGATACATCAGAGACCTTATTCTCACGTCCCAGTCAACAGCGCGTGTCATCTGCACTTCAGTTTCACGTCCAGACCAACAGACCACGCCGCCCTTGACTTCGGATGCGACATAAGACTCTATCCGTATACTACATGCATGCCTAACCTTTCTCCTTTTTCTTGATTTTTTGTATCCTGAGCTCACTCCTCCAACCATCACCTGTTTGGTACTGTCGATTTCAGTCAACCTTGGTGAAAGCTGGCCCGATCACTCACGCCCTTGTCAACGCGCTCAGTCGATATTCTGGTTTAGAATATGTATGGCATATATTTGGTCTCGCAGTTGGTTATTATGGTCGCTTCGGGATCCTTGGTTCAACGTGGTTCCGCCCTGCGTCTGCAGCGTTTTCTGGTCCGCACCACCTCGAACGCAATCATCAGATCCTGGATACGGACTACTCTGGTATGGTACGCTAACTGGATCAACAAATACAGCACGCTTCTCCAGGTACCGTTCTACCGAAAAGACTTTCGGTGGCAACTCGAGGATCAACGATCCCTCTCTGCCCTGCCAACCCTCTCGTCCTACAATCGCACGTTTGCCGATCAGTCCCACGAAAGAAACCTCTTCGTATCGAAAGTGTAAACCCTTTCTAGAGGGGGGCTCTTGTAGTGACCTACTTTTAACAAGAGAACGCGATTGGTTTAATGGAAACGATTATTATTATAACCAATTGTACCAGTGATTGTTTTATTGTACTTAGTTGTGCAACTGTACTAAAAACATTCTTCCTTCCGTTGATTGTGACCTTACACGAACTTACGTTTGCTCAGTAGTTCCGCTTGCTCTCCTTTGGCACGATCTCGGTATTATTTTGATACCACGAGATCGCCGACAAATATATCTCGCTACGACCTTCAATCGCCTTCTGATTTCTAGTTTACTTGGAGGTTTAGCCTGTTCTGGTACGCAATCTTCTTGTAGTGGTGATCATAGTCAAACGCGAATCGACGCCACACTACAATATCTTAAGGTCATTACTACTTTACTAGAGGGGAATGAGTTTTAGTGGTATACAAATTTCAACAATGAGCAGTTCTGAAAGTATTCGAGAGTGATACTGACTTTATTAGTTTCACACGAAACACCATGGCCGAAAATTCTCGGTCATGCATCCACATCATGTTATTAGTGGGTACCTCGTGCAACGTATTCCTTGAAACTGTGAGATCCATTTTGAATTTTTTGTGTGTAAAAATCCCTCCATGTATACACTTGCAGTTTGTTCCTATTTATTCCTTTAGTTGTACATTTTGTCACTCTTTTTGACTCCAATTGAGTTGGTAATATTTGTATTTTATTATAGTTTTTATTTTTCTTGCGCCTTCACTGGGTTTCCATGTTTCTTCCTGAACTGCATTTATTTTGTTTGACGTGATACTTAGTCTTGGCGGCAGCCATATTGGTTTGTTCCTCCTTTTGATTGTGTTGCTTGTGTTGACTGGAATTGTGCACCTTTTGATTGTAAATTGAAGCACTCTTTCAGGATTGGAATAATTACAAAACAACCAAATATTATCTTTTGAACGAATCTGTGCGTGGTCTATCCAGACAGAATATAATGACATTTGTTTGTTGTGATTGGTAATTTCCTCGCATCCCTTGTCAACTTCCTTATTTATTGTAGTTTAGATTTGAATAATTGAACAATTATTGGTTGGATAGCTGGGTGATCATATTTGTTTAGGTAACAATGTACATTTAGATTTATAATAAATTTCAGAACCGTCATTTTACCAAATTACTTTGTTTTGGCTTCAACCGGGCGAGGGCGCGTATCTAACCCACCTAGACAGCTATTCTTCAGTCCAAACCCCAGTTTGGGTTTAACAGCAACCACTAGCCAGTTTACATATCGGCGACTTCCAACTCGTTTATTCCCGACTTCTTTTTTTACTGGGTTTGCCTCTTAAATGTATAGGAGTTGCAGGTAAAACCGTTGTCAAACCATGAATATTTGTGGTGCTTTTTAATCGTTATACGAGTGTCTCAGAAATAACGAGGTTAATGACAAGAACGGCACTTCAAGATACATTAATCCAACATGTATTTTCTATTTTGTCATGCAAAACTTTAGAGGTTCAATGAAAAGCCAGTATTTGAGCGCTGATTAAGGCCCCAGTCTAAAGAAACCCGATACATTCTATCAAAAACCAGTTGTTCAAACGTGCCATCTCATTTTGATAGTTTCAGTTACCACCATTATTCTTTCATTATGACTCAATTGATGATTCATTATGATCAACCAAACCAATCGTTTAAATTGTAGCATCTTCCGTTTCCGTTAAACTCATAGATTTCAAACAAACTCATTTTCACTAACTGAGTTGCAATGTATGGCCTAAACGCAACGGGTCAACAAACCGAAGTTCTTCCAATTAGACACAACTACTTCCTTCTGTAAAGTGCACAAAGTCTTTTGATTCACTCTTAGTTGATCGTATAAATACTCAAAATTCGTGGCGAATTTTGTTGGTTCAAAGTTAATGAAGAAAACGGATTATATCAAAAGTAAAACGAGTTCCCTTACCGTACTGTCTGTGCTGTACAATCAAAGCTTTTTTCTGGCATAATATAGTGTGCAATACAGCAAAAAATGGTTGGGGACAAAGTAATAGGCATCTGGTAATCCGTTAGAATACCTTAACAGGCATGATTAAATATCTATCTGCAATATTGCAAGCAACTGCTTCCAGAAAGCAGTCAAATAGTATTAATAATCAACAGTTTCCACGTCTAATCTTGACTTCATCCGAACACGGTCCTACCGTAAACGGTCCGCCAACGTTCATTAACGGAATTAAATGGTAAAGGTAGATCTCAACCAAAGTCAGATAATGAAAACCTAGTCGATGAAAATTTCGGAACATAAGGCATAGTTATGCGACATAGTTATCCGATTTCTGGACAGAATTTACAATGTAAGACAGAATGAGAGAGTGAAAAATAATACTATAGTCCCAAATTACTTGCATGGGATTTTCAGAGTTCTTTCCGTTGTACACATCAAACATTTAAGATAACTTAAACTCAAACTGCCTATCAGATCAACTAGTTTGTATAATTAAATTTGACTCATACAGTTCATACGTGTGCACTTGACTTTTCAAGGAGTTCATTTAGAACTCTTAAGCGACTTTATCTCTCAGATTCCTATACATGCTGATTGAAATGGTTTCATTACAATTTTATTAGAGTTACTTAATTATATCGTTTACGATTGGTCCTGATATATTGTGTTGCTTTTGTCTACAATATGTTGCACAATCTCATGGTTCTACTTCATGGTTAGCTATTTTGTTTCCAGATAATGTTGGGCTTGGCGGCACATTCCTGCTTCTTGACACGGTTACACAAAATGTGAACGTCGAAGAACACAGATC